CTCACACACACACACACACACACACACACACACACGCACACAAACCACACATACGTGTAGTAGTGAATATTTCGATGTCGTAGCGGGAGAGTCGATCGATTTTGCTCATCCTTTCGATGGAAGTTGCGAGAAGCCAGCCGCGGCCTTGGAGACTTACCTGTTGCCGCACCCTCTCTCTCTCTCTCTCTCTCTCTCTCTCTCACACACACACACACACACACACACACACTCACTCTCTCTCTCACTCTCTCTCTCCCTCTCTCTCTCTCTCTCTCTCACACACACACACACACACCCCTCACTGGTGCGCACTCCCCCCCAACAATGGCCCCTACCCTGCGGAACCTAAAAAAAGAAAAAAAAGAAAAAAAAGGGTTCGTACCAACCCGGACGGTGCGGGGAAGGCACCGCTCCAGTCCCGGACCAAACCGTATCGGACTGAAGACCACAGGACCATACCCCGTCCGGTCCTGTCTGGTCCCGTCCGGTCCGGTCCGGCCCTGTTCGGTTAAGGGGGAGGGTGCAGGACGAGGTAAACCGGACCGGACCGGTCGCTTGTCCGGTCCGTCCACTTGCAAGTATGATTCACGAGTATGCAACAGTTTTGGTATCGGAGCAGACCAAGTAATGGATCTGCTCACAAGGTAATTCTGACGAGGGAATAGATGCTCATTCGATTTTCCAAATTAGTTCTGCATTACTATCGCGATTCAAAGTTGCAATTTTTTTTTTTTCGGTATTCTGTTTTTAATTTCGGCATTGCGTTTCAATTCGGTATTCCGATTTTCAATTCGGGATTCTGTTTTAATCCGGTATTCTGTTTAGTTCGGTATTTTGTTTAAATTGGTATTCTGTTTAATTCGATATTCTGTTTCAGTTCGGTATTCTGATTCCAATTCGGTATTATGTTTTAATTCGGCATTCTGTTTTAATTCAGTATTCTGTTTTAAGATCATCTACTAGAGATTTTTGGCGGTCATGATCGGTATTCTGTTTTATTTCGGTATTGGAATTAGGGGTACGATAAAATTTCGGTTTTTCGTTCAATTTGGGAAATTCACATGTTTTTGGAACCGTAAAACCATAAATTCCGCGAAATCGCGAAAAATTAGGTTTGGAATTCGAAATCACGAATTTTTTTTCTTTTCCCAAATTGGGAATTTTCGAATACGGACTTCAGCCTTCTGGAAATCGGACTTGTTAGGTTGAAATTCCCGAAATTTCACGTTTTTCGGAAATTCGAGTGTTTCTCTTTCTGACTATCCGAAAAAATTTTCAGTGGCAGACTGTTTGGAATCTTTACCTGAGAACTGCAACTTCCGGGCAGTTCACTAACAAACGGTGAACTCCCGGACCATAGGTGATCTCAACGGATACCTAATCTTGCCACAATTTAAATTTCGTTATTAATTATTGATTATTATTTTATTGATTATTATTAAGAGACTATTAATTCGGTATTAATCATTAATAAAAATTTATTGATTATTAATTCGTTATTATTTCTTATTTCGAATTTTAAGTTGTTTTGGGGGAAAAGTTCAGCTTTTTCTTTTGATTAGGTGTCTAGTCCACATTGGGACAGGGGACTGTATGTGAATTGCTTGATCTGTTCTACCCCTGTTCCCACCCTCCCTGCCCTCCCCGTAATTTGTGACCACCGGGACTTCTCAAAGTACCACAGCTCGGGCTAATGTCGATGGAACAGGACATCGGGGCACTGCCACGACGCAGTGTCAGGCTCGCAGTTCGTAGCCACTCTATGGTACCTCCACGATCTAAGTATCAACAACAACGATCGGCAGGCGAACAACTCCAGCGGCATCGAGTACAGCAACTGCAGTACCAGTTACCATCGGGGCTCTTCCCGCATGTCCGGTCCAAAGGGACCATGAGCCGTTGTCAGATTACCTTCATCGGGTACAAGCATTTACAGATGTCGTCGCTAAGGCCGAGCGGGAGGCAGCAGAGGCAGAACGACAACGGCTTGCCAATGAGGCAGCAGCCCAAGCTCAGCGAATTGTTGAGGCTGACGTGACGGTTCGAGACTAGCGGAACGCCATCAACATGGAGTCCTTGACTCAGAATGAGAGTCACTGGACAACACTACTCCAAGGCATGTTGTTTGAGCCTTCAGACGAGCAGGTGGAACCGACACCGGCGGAGGCAGAAAGGAGTAACCTGGCTAACCTAATGCTGACCATGATGAGGGCGGTGATGTGGAACAATACGATGTTGACAGTGCAGATACACGAGGGCAGACAGCTGAGACAGACTCAGCAGAAAGACGCTGCAGCCTTAACAACCGTTGTTCTCGCTGCCGCCACACATCAGCAACAACAACAACAATTGTTGAACACCACCACCACACGCATCAACAACATCGAGGCTAAGGCCTCAGCTGCGCCAGGCTGCACGACATACACGACGAAGCAGCTCGAGGAGTGCATCGACCATGTCATCACTATTATCGGCGAATTAGGTGATTTCACTAGTCTGGCCACAATCAGCAGCATGGTGGCCGCCATCAAGACGGACATCACGAAGCTGCAGTCAAGACCGGACGTCGCTACAAAGGCATACAAGATGCCACGCTTCATCATCGGCAAGTTTGACGACTACAACAAGACGGACGCCTTGACATGGTGGCAAAGCTTCCTCACCGAAGCATCTTGCCACACTGCACCGACCGAAGACATGATGAAAGCGCTCTACCTCCAACTCATTGGAGGAGCAGAGGCATGGATGAACCATACCGCGGCCATTCTGAAATGCACCATCGCCCAACTGCACACGCACATTCTGTGGAAGCAGTTCGAGCAAATGTGGTTCACTCGATTCATGGTCCGCAACGTTGTAAAAGCGGCCATGAACGACGTCTACTCCAGCTCACAAGGGAACATGCCAACTCGAGACTGGACGATCAAGTGGCAGAAGATAGTAACCACTCCAGGCTTCGACTTGAGTTTCCCAAACCAACGATCCGAATTCTTTTCGCGATCGTGCGCAGGACTGCGGTCGGCACTCGGCAACGAGTACGACTATGCCTCATTCCAGGCTATTCTGGATCGTGCGAAACAGGTCATCCAAACGGATGACAAGGCCGCCAACGAACGGCAGTCCCAGCCGCACTATGTGGCTAAGCAAGGCTACTGACGGCCGGCACATAACAATGTCGTGATTCCTGACGAATCAATCGATCTCCACGCTGCAGCAGCATCCTCGAGTGATGGAGGAGTTGTTGCAGCGCTCCCGCCGAAGCGTCCCAAGAGAGTTCGGAAGAACAAGGCGATACAAGCGATGACATCGACGGGAACTGGGCAGCAACCATGGACAACATACAACATTACCAAGGAAGTATTCGTCAACGGCACAGATATTGCCTTTGGTGCAATAGTGTCAACCACACTACGGCACAATGCTCGGAAAAGAGCAAGGCACGCGTACCCCGTCCAGCTAACTCGGGAAACTGAGTTACGCAAGGAGAGAGGCGATGCCTCTCCTCACTCCGCCGAAACCGGTTGCCTTGCTAGTAACCGACATCTCTACCGGGGAGCATGCGTTAGTCGCTGATTCTCGTGCTACGTACGAGGATTATGCCGCCCAGCTGGTGCCACCATTAGACCAGCCTAGCCACGTGCACTTAGATAGCGTATGTGCAGCCTGTACACCGTCGGCAAGTGAACCGGTCAGTTCGCCACTGATTTTCGAGGACTTGACGGCGTGGTCAAGACTTGAGGAGCTTGACCCACTCACGAGAGAGGACTTCGCTTGGATGCCTCTACCCTCAACCGGAACCTTGCCAAGGCCGCATTGTAACGCCTTGATGGCAAATCTGCGCTCCTACTTGCACGCTGCAATACCAGATCCGTTGACGGACGACGGAGTAGCGGTTGTCGATCTCCGCTCCTATCTCGCGAAGATTGACCGCGAGTATGCCACCCAAAGGTACGCCGAAACCGACGCACCTTTGCTCTATATCTGCATTCATATCGGAAAGGCAACTTGCAGTGCCTTGATTGATTGCGGAGCATCTCGCAATTTCATTAGCCAAGCCTTTATGGCCCGTGCAGGCCTTGGCCCGTGCGTTCGAAGGAAGACGCAACCTACGCAAGTGACACTCGCAGACGGCCGCACGCAAAAGTCAATCGACCGATGCATTGATGGCGTCCCGGTATACTTTGCGCCCCTTGCGTGCGAGCCGGTGTCTTTCGACATCCTCGACACCAAGTTTGACATGATTCTAGGCATGTCTTGGTTGCGTAGCGCCGATCATCCGGTGAACTTTCATGACCGAACCGTTCACGTCCGTGATCGGAACGGAGTGTTAGTCCCATGTACGGTCGCGACCCCTCACACTTCGATTGCTTGTCACGTGGTTTCCGTTGCTAGGATTCGCGACGCCATAGCTCGGAATGACGTCGAGGAGATGGGCCTTGTTTTCTTACATGCCCTCCCCTCGCCGGACGGACCAGCCGCGTCGTCGCCGGATCCACGTATTACTCACCTCTTAGACGAGTATGGAGACGTTTTCGAGGCTCCCACCGGAACGGTTTCGGATCGGCCCATTCATCACGGGATTACTCTCGAGGCGGGTGCCGTACACCCGCGTGGATGCATTTACCGCATGAGCGAAGAGGAACTCGAGGTGCACCGCGCACAACTTGATGACCTTCTCGACAAGGGCTGGATTCGCCCTAGTTGTTCGCCATACGGTGCACCAGTTCTCTTCGTCCGGAAGAAAAACAAGGACCTACGGCTGTGCATTGACTATCGAAAACTTAACGCACAAACTGTTAAGAACGTCGGCCCCCTCCCTCGGATTGATGATCTCCTCGAGCGGTTGGGCGGCGCGACGTACTTCTCGAAGTTGGACTTGAAGTCGGGTTACCACCAGATTGAAATCCAGCCTCAAGACCGGTACAAGACCGCTTTTAAAACGAGGTATGGGCATTTTGAGTGGGTCGTGATGCCATTTGGACTCACCAATGCCCCGACAGCCTTTCAAGCAGCCATGACAACGGAGTTCCGAGACTTGCTCGATTGTTCCGTCCTCATCTACCTCGACGATATCTTGGTCTATAGTAGGACGCTTGACGAGCACCTCGTACACCTTCGTGTGGTGTTGGATCGTTTGCGAGCAGCCAAGTACAAAGCAAACCGCGACAAGTGCGAATTCGCCAAGCAAGAGCTTGAGTACTTGGGCCATTATGTGACGCCGAAAGGCATTCGTCCCTTAGCGGACAAGATTCAAGCCATCGTGGATTGGCCGGAACCCCGTTGCACGACGGACGTACGCTCTTTCATGGGGTTGGCTGGATACTATCAACACTTCGTCGAGTCCTACTCCAAATTGGCAGCTCCTTTGTCGAGACTTCAGTCCCCGAAGGTACCATTCGAGTTCGACGACGCAGCTCGTGGCGTGTTCAATACATTGAAGGCGACGATGCAAGACGCACCGGCCCTCCGTATCTATGATCCCACCCTATCCACCCAAGTGACTACGGATGCTTCCGGGTACAGTATTGGTGCGGTATTGGAACAATGCCACACGGATGGTTGGCACCTGGTCGAGTACTTCTCTCAAAAAGTGCCTCCCATCAACACTCTCGACGACGCTAGGAAGAAAGAGCTACTCGCGTTCGTCACCGTTCTCAAACGGTGGCGCCACTTTCTTCTCGGTTCGACGTTTTAGATGGAACACGGACAACAATCTGTTGACCTTCTACAAAATGCAGGACACGGTCACTAGCACGATCGGTCGATGGATGTATTACATCGACCAGTTCGACTTTGAGTCGTGCCACACTCCCGGTCCCGCCAATCGAGCAGCGGACGCCCTCTCACGGAGGCCCGACCTTTGTGCCCTCGTGACGACGACGTTCCAACTCGACGACGATCTGCAACAGCATTTCGTCAAAGGCTACAAGTCCGATCCGACTTACTCTACGCTTTATGCGGACCTGTTATCGGATCACCCGCCGACTGGTCATTATTGTATTTCCGGCGGGTTCCTACTTCTCCACACGAGAGGAAAGGACTTGTTAGTGGTGCCCCAAGATCGCATTCAGGTGGGTCACACTACCGAAGTACGGCCTCGTCTTCTCGGCGAATTCCACGACGCACGACTTTCAGCACACCTTGGCGTGAACCGCACATTGGCTCGCCTCCGCCAACGTTTTCACAGGCTAGACGTGCTTCACAATGTCACGAGGTACATTGAGTCATGTGCAGTTTGCCATCGTAACAAAGGTCGATCTACGGTCCCTTATGGCGAACTGAAACCGATGCCGATTCCTCGGGCACCTCGCCTCTCCATTGCTATGGATGTGACAGGCCTGTTCCCCCGCGATCGCCTCGGTCATGACGGCATTCTCCCGGTCGTTGACCGTTTGAGCAAGTACGCTCGCTTTCTCCCATGCAAGTATCGTGCTGCAGCTCCCGAGCTCGCCCGACTCTTGCACACCGGCTGGATTACATGCCACGGTGTTCCGGAAGATATTGTGAGCGACAGAGACATGCGCTTCATGTCTGCCTCTTGGACTTCCCTCATGATGGAGTCCGGTTCGACTATGAAGCTGAGTTCCGCACGGCACCCGCAGACGGATGGAACAGTCGAAAAGAGCGCATCAAACCGCTCAAATGATGTTACGTACACTCATCCGTCCCGACCAGAAAGATTGGGTTGATCGACTTCCCGACATCGAGTTCGCCTATAACACTTCGGTGCATCCGGCGATCTGCATCACCCCATTCGAGTTGCATCACGGTGGAGAGAAGGCCCAAGTCTTCGCCGATCTTCTTCTACCACGGACCGGACTTCGTTTGCGGATGTGAGCCTTTTGCATGTTCGCGCGGGCTTTGATCAGCAAGTCCCGGTACTTCCCGCTTCCGTCTGGAAGTACCGGGACTTGCTGATCAAAGCCCGCTCGAACATGCAAAAGGCTCAAATCCGCATGCAGCAGCAAGCCAACCGACGTTAACTCCCATGTCCTTTCTGCGAAGGAGACCTTGTTTGGGTCCTCGCTGAGGAATTCGCGCTCGAGCAGGACATCTCGCGCAAACTCCTCCCAAAATGGTTTGGACCATGAAAGGTAGTTTCTGCAGCAGGCGACGACCCTTCAGGTCCTTCCTTTGTGATTGCCATCCCACCGCACCTCCGTGTGCACCCGGTCTTCCATGCGTCGAATCTGGCCATCTGCACGCCACCTTCCGAGGACGAGTTCCCGGGCCGACGATCATAAGACCCGCCCTCTATGGACAGACACCAGGAAGTTGACCGTGTCATCAGGCACCGCGAGTTTGGCAACAAACCGATGCAATACGAACTCACTTTCAAGCAATGTGACCCTGATGACACTCGTTGGATCTCCCGCGCAGACTTACAGGCATCAGCACCACTCATCTTCTCCGACTACGAGAACTGGAGACTTGCCAAGGACAAAGTTTGTCCCTCCCGACCCACCCTGGTATCGGACAGACGACTTCGCCCTCGCAGGTAGCTCGGTCTTTTAAGGGGGGGAGTGTGTTACAGTCTGCGACTTCACACGGGCCTCCACAGGCCCGACACACCGGTTCAGGGGTACCCAGGCCGGCCTCACCAAAGGCCAGCCCTTTTTCCTTCCGGTAGGCCCTATTAGGCCACCGGTTGGGCCCCAGCGCCAGCAGTCCCAGGTTGGCCCAAACGACATGACCGTTTGGGCCTGGCGGCACTCTTGAGGCTGCCGCCCGCCGGTCTGGGCTGAACGGCCATTTCAACGGTTCAGCCCACGGCACAGGAGGCCAGCATTGAGGCTGACCGGCCGCCGGACGGGTCAGCGGCCATTCTGCAGGTTGGAACGAGGGAGCAGCGAGAGGCAGCGCTGTGCTATTTCGGTTGAGTGCAGCACCAGGAACGGCAGCACTAGTTTAGCGCACTGCAGTTCAGGAGGAGCGAGGAGGAGCGAGGGGACTTACCTGCGACCGTGGAGCGCCATAGCTCCCGAGACCTGCAGCAGATCTCCCTCCACATGCCAAGGCGCCAGCTTGTTACCTGCAGGTTTGGCCTGAGGCCCTCCTCCGCTTCCCACCTCTACCTCTCCTCTTCATCTCCATCTTCCTCTTCTTCATCTCCATCTTCTTCTTCTTCAGACCTCCTTTGCTTCTTCTTCAGATTGGAGACCTGATACGAGTTGGACAGAGATCAGTGTTGGACTTCGGTGGTAAGAGGCTGTGATACTTAGCGGATTCGAGACTTGGAGATAGCTGGGATTGATACTCGGCGGCATCACAGGTTGGACACCGATTACATTAGGACTCTGTATCTCCGACATTGGTGACCTATTGTCCACGACATTTGGATCTTGTTCGATGACATTTTGGACTACCATATCAGTGACCTACTGGATTCTATCTCGGTGACATCTGACGCTGCCTATACATCCCACCTCTATCGTCTCTCCTCCCACCTTCATCTGTGTATGGTTGTACGGGGCCTGAGCACCGTCTATGATTGGCTCAGACCCCACCATCTCACGATTGTTTGTGTGTTGAGTGATATCGGTACGAGTTCAGTCTAGGTGAGTCAGTCCATTTCTCAGACTTCCGCTGCATACATGCTCATCCTTTATTGGTTGATCTTTGGTTCTGCCATGCTTGTTGAAGTATTCACGAGTATGCAACAGTAGTCAATCGTATGGGTGTACAGTGCACACCAAATAGTACATCCCTCCTCAAGTGAGTCAAATCAGTAGGCATCAAACATGGAGAGACCTTGAAATTTGATAGAGCCATCTCCAATGAAATTCCTCATTGCTAACCATTGCTGGAAGCTCAAAATTCAATGTGGATGGACTCCGATGGAGGTTCAAAATTCAAATTTCCATTTAATAGCACACATATCACATGCAGGTTATTTGCACGATGATACCCTCAGGTAAGCTGATTTGCGCTCATGATCTGACCCAACTGTCACATTCATTTACAAATTTTACATTAATAAGAGTTGTGGTGGTGGATGTGCGAACAGGTGGTGGATGAATTTGGAAATCGAATGCACTTGGTGGAGATTGATATAGTTGAAGATCCTGAAATTGCGGAGGCAGCCGGAGTCATGGGCACGCCGCTTGTACAGTTTTTCAAGAGCAAGGAAAAAGTGAGGTAAGGTCATTCATCGAGTTCTTAATCCTTTCAGCTTGTCAGTTTGAAATTTGAAATTTGAATGTCATTACAAGTAGTCCAGCTGGACGCATGCAGCAGACTTAGGTCGTACTCACACCAGGACTCTTCTGATGCATCTTGCGCTACTGCATCCATATTTATAGCCTAGTATTTGTAGTGGTTGGGCCTATCGTATTGCTGTCATGCCACCACTGGGCACTACGAATCATGTGTATGCTGTTTCTATGAGAAATGTCGGATTATTTGGGATGTTTGATGTGTTCTGTATCTTCTCGCATCTGCGACTCGGACTACAACTTTCTGTGTGTCGTGTGAACTTGTCTTTACGCACCTACTTTGCTTAGTAATTGAGTTTGCTGACTTGATGAGTTAGTTGAGCTTAGATGGACTTAGATCTGTGCTAGGAGTATTGCTGCTGCTAACAGTTCTCCGTTATATTTTTACAAATTGTCATGTACAAATAACCCGTGAACGTGCTTCATGCAAGGAACCCGACTGTTCAACACTTGCTGGAGTGCTTCAGATCACATGCATTCACACAGGTTTCCCAAATTGCGATGTCTCACACAAAGCCCAATAAGAGATGAATGAGAACCAGGAGCTCAACTCAATTAATCAAATCAGATTAGAGAGAGAACATCATGAGTTCGAAGTGTATAGCGCTGAACAGAGTTACAAGTCTCCTTCGATCAGCATGAGTTCCAGGCCTGGCGCTCATCAGCGCCAGCTACCAAATGTCAACAACAGCACTCAATAGGTAAGTGTCACCATAGCTCACACTTCCCCCTCTCTCGTCTGCCTTCTTCTCTCTCTCCCTCTATGTCTAAAGTCCTGGTTTACCCTCATTCATCATGCATGCACACTCTCTATTACACGAGGATCTACTCAGAATACTACTCACTGGTATCTCCTACTGACTATCCCTACTAACATACTAACTAGCGCCGGCGCAGCTAAGGCTGTCTTCCCTCTAGCCAGCACTCTCTTCCTCCTTCCCGCATAGCGCTGCTCTTCAGCCTAGCGCAGCTCACACACATCTGGCGCACAAGTGCCATGGCACTTCCACACTCTCATGCAAAGTGAGCATCTGCCCAAATGGGAGGCTGGCCAGTCCTTTATAGTGCTGTACTGGTCTGGCGTGGCCTGCATTCAGCCTCAAAGGTGCCTGGGACTCCCGCCCAGTGCCGATTGTTGCAAAGTGTGTGTCCCAGTATCTTTTTTCCCATGGTCTGCTGCTGCCTTGGGCCATCGGGCCTGTCTTTTGGACTCCTGGTCTGAATCAGGACTGACTCGTGGGATTATGACTGGACTGGGACTGTAGCCTTTGACTCATTGCCGAACAGACATGTCTTTTCATCGAGGAGACATGACCCTAACTCAGTCTTGAAAATTGTGTCCAATACCTGTTCGTTCAGGACCTGCTGTGACCTTTCAAAATGACTTATCACTTTATTATGGATGTGACTTTTACCTCAGGGAACTTTGTCTTTTGAGTTGCTGCTCGTGAATTTAGTTCTGGCCGACAGGGCCCCTTGCTGTTGGGGCA